ACCACCAGGCCATCATCTATCCAATAACCATCTAGCAATAAAAAACTAAATCATCAGGCATAAATTATCAATTATCTCGTTTATTATATCTGAGCTCTAAATATCGCCTCTTCGGAGTCTACTGAGTCTTTCTCTTCGGACGAGTTTTCTTCTTCTTTTCTGCTCTTCTCTGCAATTATCTTTTTTATCTCTGGAATGAGATTTGAAATGTGCACAGTGCTTTTTATTCTGTTCTGCTTACTTCCTCGGATCACCTGGAAAGTTTCCTCTTCCAGCTCTTTTCTTCCTATCAACACAAGAATTTCTGCTCCTATTGCGTCCGCATACTCGCTGTGTCTTGAGAAGTTTGAAGAGTCTCCCATGAAGTACTCGCTGTTTATTTTGTTCTTTCTGAGATGCACACACATCTTAATTCTTTCTTCGAGAAGATTGGACCCTACGGAGCACACAAGAACTTCTGTGTATGTTTTTTTCTCTGGCGTGTCGATTAGACTGAACAGCCTGCTTACGCCCAGGCTAACTCCCACACACTTTACCTCTTCTGCGTTGTTTTTTTGTTTTTGTTTCTTTTTTGTTTTTTTTGACAGCTCCAAATTGTCTAATCCTTCTGCAATTTCGTGTGTCTCTGGGTGCTTGATCTCAAACAAGCTGTTCACCAGCCCATCGTATCTGCCGCCTGCTACCAGAGTTCCTTCTATTCCCTCGTAGCCTCCCTCCAGAAGAATGCCTGTGTAGTACTCCAGGCCGCGTATCAGGCTTATGTCAAGCACAACCTGCTCGTCTACGCCGTACACAACCAGCAGCTCGTGCAGGCGCACAAGATCATCGATAGCCTGTTTTCCTTTTTCGGTCTGCCCTATCTCTGACGATTTAAGAAGACTGATAATCTCAAACGATCCTTTTATTTTGATCAGATCTTTTATTTTTTCTATTGACTCTGCGTGCGCTCCTTTCTCCTCCATTTCTTTGGCCACCTCTTTCCATGCCATTTTATCGAGTTTGTCTATTGAGCTTCCTATGGTCCCTGCGAGCGATGCGTCTATTCCGCACACCTCCATCAGACTGTCAACCAGCTTCTTGTGGTTTAGTCTGATGTAGAATGATCTGTTTTTCATATCTTTTGAGAAGTTTTTCAGAACATCGTGTGTTGTTGAGACTATTTCTGCATCTGCGGCCATGTGCGCGTATTCTCCCACTATATCAAAGTCACTCTGGTAGAACTCTCTGTATCTTCCCTTCACTAGCGCAGGCTGGTCTCTTCTGAACACCTTTGCCGTGTGATATCTTTTCATTTTCACCGTTTTTGTCATTGCAAGATACCTCGCAAACGGCACTGTCAGATCGTATCGGAGCGCGCACAGCTCTCCTCCCTGGTCTGCAAGGTCGTAGATGAGCTTGGAGTCTTCCCCGTACTTGTTCATTAAAATCGCTTTTATCTCAAAGGTGGGCGTGTCAAACGGCACAGCTCCTCGTCTTTTGTAAATCTTTTCTATTTCAGCTATTATCCTGTCTATCAGTATTTTGTCTTTCCCTGCGTAGTCTCTGGTTCCCTTCGCTGTCTTAATTAGCTGGTCCATAAATTTCAAAAAATCTTTTCGAATAATATGGAACCATATGAGCGTTTAGCTCTGCTCCGACAGGATTTATTCCTTCTGAATGAAAAGTCTGAAAAAACAAAATTATCAATCAGAAAGACGCTAAAGGAAATAGTTGTGGATAAAAAAACACCCCCAAAGGTCCTGGCCTCCATCGAGCAAGCCAAGGCCGAGATTTCATCGAGCAGAATATTACAGTTGACTCTGGGAGTTGGCGAGCTGAAGCTTCCTGAGAAGCTGAAGTACAAGTACAAGAGCGCATACGAAACGTTCAAGCTCACATCGACCATCATTGTCACGCTGTTCACCCTTTTGAACCTGCTGATCTCCCAGAGCAAAATTATGGACACTCTGCAAATTCTCACACAAATGTACATATACTCCACGCTCACCATACGAGAGCACATTTTGATCAACAACGGAAGCCACATCAAGAAATGGTGGATACTCCACCACTACATATGCATTGTCATAACGGGAATGATGCTGACCTGTCCGGAAGAGTCTTTTTCCCTTATCAGAACCCCCGTGCTGAAGTTTCTTTTTCTTCTTTCGTGCTCGCAGGTTGTCCAGTACCAGTACCAGATGCGAAGGCTCTACGTTCTGCGCGCTCTGAAGAAAGCAGACCCCTTGGAAATAACGAGCGATGTGATGAATGTCTCTCTTATTGCGAACTTGTGGGTGGCCGTTGCAATTCTTGTGCTATTCCAGTTTATCCAGATATACGTGTCGTACTACATATACACACTGCACGTAGTTCACAAATGGACGAACTATCAGCCGCTTATTGGGGCCATACTGATATGTGTGATGGCTTTTGGGAATATGTTTACGATTTTCTACACGTGCTACAACAAAGGGCTTATACATAAATAGAAAGAGAGAATCATCGATTCTAGCGCGTATAGTATTTTAAATAAAGCAGCCGTATTACACTCTTGCAGCGCATGTTTTGCATTTTTATCCCGCGCCCGCCAAAACCACTTTATAAATTTCTTTCGTTGGTTTGTGTATGAAAACAACCATCTCTGAGCTTCCGTACCTGCACAAAGTAGACGAAGCATTCACTGAGGAGTGCTGCCCGCCCTCCCCGCAGTCGCATCTTGACATGGAGGATGTAATTGCCAAAAAGAAGCCACTTCGAAAATCAAAGAGAAGAAAAACCCTCCCAAAATACGTTAAGTACAAAGACCTGTCTGAAAGAGAAGAAACAAAGCTGACGCCAAGACAGCTGATGATGGTCATGCGCAAAAAGGGAATAATTACAGACGGCATCAAAGAGCTTGATAGAGAAACAAAAATAGTGTGTCCTGGAGCAATTCCCGACAGAAAATCGAAGAAAAATTTAGTAGAAGAATTCAGCACATACGCGAATATGCAGTCAGCACTAGAATGTAAAGTAAGCATGCAGAATGCAATGAATGGCCATGCCCCGCAGAGCACAAAGGCTGTTCTAGAGAACATTGCGGATATTTCGATGGACGATAAGACCACGGGGGAAAACAAGTGGATAGAGAGCAGTGGGGAAGATCAGATCACTAGAACAGAAGATTCACCCAGCACAATGCTCAGTCTTCCCGAGAAATTAACAATTTTATTTAAGAGAGTAGACTGCGAAAAAGAGTCTGAGAGACGTATTAATGAAGAGGACAGACTGAGCAGAAACATCACAGATAAAAAGAAGAGATCAAAGACATCTACCGCATCGAAGAAGGAGCTAAAGATAAAGATGGCAGATATGGAAGAAAAGAGGAAAAGTCTCCGAATCAGAATAAAACTAGATGAAAAACAAAAGGAGAGGAAATCTCAGAGCCATTCTTTAGATGCACTAATCGATGCGAGTAATAATCACTCAGCCCCTGTTTCAGACAATCTCTCTCATCACAAAAAAGAATCTGAACTCTCTAGCAATAACAACACAGTGATAAGTGCAAGAGTGGCAAACACTAAAAATAACAAAGAAACTTTTTCTGCAGACAACAGTGGAGTTGAGGAAATTAAAAATGCAAATAATGGTGAACATGCAGAAATTATACAAGAGAGTCTTCCTGTACAAAAAATAGCTGATAATATCTGCGAGCCCTTGCACATCTACCCTGCTCCACAGAAGCCTTCTTCTGATCTTCTGCCAGCCTCTTCTCTATCTACTAAATTTGTGAATAAAGATAGCTATGTAGGCCTTCTGGGCAGCATTCAGAGAGAAATGTCAATGCACACCTGTCCTGTGCGAACTCTGCTGGCGTCCATTTCCAAGAGGCTCGGTGCTGTAGTAAAAAATCCCCAGGAAAACGCGCACATGCACAACCAGGATGCCTTCAAAAGAGTCGTTCTGTCGTTCAGAAACATTGTCCAGCACCGAGAAAACTGCTGCATGAAATAATAAATAGAAACCTTTGCTTGTTTATTCATCTATCCACTTGTACTCCTTCTGGACATTTACTTCGTTTTTTACATTTCTCACCGGAATGTCCAAATACCGTTTTATTTCTTCCGTTGTTTTCTCTTTCAGAGACGTAGCAATCACCTTGCAGCACAGCTCCAAAAGGAGGGGCATGTTCAGGTAATTTGCAGCTGCAATAAGGCGGAAAAGAAGCGCTTTTTCTATCGAGAGAAAAAAGCCCTCGTCAAAATCTGTGAAGAGGACATCGTGTGTGTCAAAGTCCTCTGGCATTTCTTGGTCGTCCATGTGGCTTTCCATAAATTCAAAAATCTTTTTAAAAACGTCTGAATCAACGAGTATCTCCACACCGCTCTCTGGGATTACAGTTTCTTCTGCAAGGTTGCACAGCAGTATGCTCTGCTGGTAGTGCTTCTTGCTGAGTGTGTACTTGATGGCGTCTCTTGTCAGCACGTTCATGGTCGGTGTTTTAAAATGAAACAAAAACTTAAGAAGAAAATTTTTCGTAGATATGAACAGAAAAGCTCTTGAGCGACTGAAATGCGGCAGCAAGAGAAGAGAGAAAAGAAGCACCCCGGCCATAGCGCAGATAATCTTCGGAGAAAAGACCACTTTTATAGCCTTTTCAAAAAGAAGCAACTTGTGCACCATTATTAAGAAATCGCTAATTGGCCTGGCGTCTTCCCTCCAGTCGAGCTGCATGCCTGTGTGCGAACAGGAAATTGACTTGGTGGACTACCCAGAGTTTCTATTTTATGTGGAAGACTACGCAGGAAGGAAGATCTTCCTCAACACCCGGGAGAACGAGCTTTCAAATCTTTTGAGGTTCTTTTCTTACAAACTGACAATCCATGTGTACTTATCTGGGTCTCTCGGAGATGCATCCATTGAAACTTTGCGGAACTAGCGTGCAGAGCACCTTCGTGCCAGCTGCTAGCTTCTCGTATGTTTAGTGCAGCAGATGGAATGAATAAACATTATTATAGCATAGATCATTTTCTCTCGCAACTTAGAAGACAAGTGACACAGTAAAGTTTTTACGGAATTAGCTGTCCGTTTGTAGGATCTTATACAAGAATACTTTAGTGGCAGTTTAGATGGCAGTGTAATCCAGTGCATATCTTTTGATCGATCTTACATACTGTGCTGTGCTATGGCTATTATTTTACCACACTAGTACAAAGCACTGCCTGCATATCGAGTAGTAAAGAGTGTCTATGCTCTTGCAGGGTTAGGGATGTTCTTGTGCACTCTCTGTCAATGCAGCTTGAGAAGTGTACGTACAGAATTTTTAAATAAAAGCAATTGTACCTCAAATGCCCTAATTGCAGAATTTAATGAAATTTAATATTTTGTTTTTTAGCACACATGCAACTGAAGTTCCTGCTCCTCATAACATTTATTTTTTTTGCAGCCCAAGCAATGGCGTTACAGAAAGAAAAAGGAAACGAGAATCCATACGTGTTCCTGTCAATCGCAGTAGATGAGAAAGGCAAAGACAGCAAAACTGTCAGAAAGTCCCTAGGCGAAATAATCATAAAACTTGCAGTCGATGTTGTTCCAAGAACAGCAGAAAACTTCAGACAGCTGTGCGTAGGATGCCACGCTGGAACGTACAAAGGCTCTTCATTCCACAGAGTTATTAACAAGTTCATGATCCAGGGAGGAGACTTCGATAAACACAACGGAACAGGAGGACTGAGCATCTACGGAAAAAAATTCAACGATGAAAACTTCATTCTTAAGCACAACAAGCCATACCTCCTCTCTATGGCAAATGCAGGGCCTAACACCAATGGATCGCAGTTCTTCATCACCACTGTTCCCACGCCCTGGCTAGATGGAGCACACGTAGTGTTCGGTGAAGTGGTTAAGGGACAGGATATTGTCAAAACAATTGAGAATGTGCCAACATCCAGAGGAGACGACAGGCCTCTGCAGAAGGTTGTGATTGATGACTGCGGTGCATACAAAGGAAGCATTGCTGACCTAAAGAAAGATCTATAAGCGCATTTGTTCTTATGGCAGATTGCTTATTATTCTCTCAATAATTAATAAACACCGGTTAGTTATATCTTTTTATTATCTACATTTTGATTAAGATAGCACTCATGGATCTGCAGGAATGCAAAAATAAAAGTGTGCAGAGCATGTGATCATTAGAACTATTGGCATATTGCGAATGCTAGGAGAAAACATTGAATCTACCCAGAGCATGGAAGTCCTTTCAACTTTTAGACTATAGCATTGGTTGAGTCAATGAGATGGAAAATAGAAGAAGTAAGCTAAACTCTTTGAATAGATCCGGTCTATAATGCCTCTCTTGCAGACTCAGCTCTTTAGGTTTTTCTGGAGTTTCATGCCGAAACATCCCCTCAGAGATGAGCTCTTTCCCTCTATGTTCGTGCTGTTTACCTGCAGCATAAAACAACAATTTTCATACTTCTATTTTAGTCCATATTTCTCTCTTGATTACAAGTGTTGTTTGTTTAGTGGTGACTATTGCGTCTGTTTTTTGAATAAATGGCTGCGTGTTTCATTTTGTTTGTTAAGAAAATTCTAAATGGAGTTTCAAATGGGAGAGATGTCTAGAGAGATGAACAACCTTTCGAATGTTAAAAAGTTCTCGGAAGATGAAATACTGCAGATTATAAAAGATAGATACAGCTCGGGAATGATATATACACTCGCAGGCCCAGCACTAGTCTCTGTCAATCCGCACAGACCGCTGGGTGTATATGGAAGCGAGCAGAAAAAAGAGGCTTTATCAAACAACGAGTATCCGCACATTTTTACAATAGCTGAAAGAGCACACAGAGGAATGCTGCAGAATAAGAATCAGGTAATTGTCCTGAGCGGTGAGTCCGGCTCAGGAAAGAGTGTGAACGCAAACTACATACTTGAGTATCTCTCTGACCGCATGGAAAAGAAGAACATTGGAAGAAGGCTTGTGCATGCGTCTCCTGTGCTAGAGCTGTTTGGGAATGCGTGCACAAAAAACAACACAAACTCCTCGAGGTTTGGAAAGTATGTTGAAATATACTACGAGTCAAATCAAATAGCAGGAGCAAACATAAAAGCTTTTCTGCTGGAGAAAGGCAGAGCGCAGGCAGCGCAGGACAACTTCCACTCAATGGTCCTGCTGAGTGAGCTCATAGACGAAACAAAAAAAAGCAGAGAAGAAAGTAAAAAAAGAATGGCAGAGATACTGGGCAGCTTCCAAAAGATAGGAGTAGATAGGAAAAGTGTGCTAGGAGTATTCAAAGCTCTTTTGATAGTGGTTTATCTAGTGCAGATCGAGATAAAAGAAGGGAAAGAAGAAGACGGGTGCTCTGTTGACAAAGAAATGATAGATAAAGTATCGCACGTTATAGGCATTCCCTCTGACACAATATCGTCGCTTCTGCTAGAAAGAAAGCTCTCCATTGGAAAAGATGTTCTTACCAAAAAAAAGACACTCAGCGAGTGCCAGGTAACAAAGAACACTCTCATTCGTGTTATATACGAGAAAATATTTGAGTCTGTGGTTTTTCTGATCAACAGCACACTGGCTTCTGAGAAAAGCACAGAAGATGATTTGGCTAAGTACCTGAGCCATGAAGGAGTTGATTTGTTTGTGAGTGAGCTATTCAATGCAGACATCAGTGTAGAACTGCCTAGACCTACGATTATAGATGGAAATGATGGAGAAAAAACAGTTAAAATAGGAGTACTGGATATATACGGATTCGAGATTATGGAGGAAAACGGGTTTGATCAGCTCTGCATAAATTACGCAAACGAGAAGATTCAGGCAGAGTATGTGCGCAGAATAATCGAGGACAACAGGAAAGCTTTTAGAGAAGAGGGGATTGACCTGGAGAACATGGAAATGCTCTCGCAGGCAGAGTCTGTCTTTGAAGGATCGCTTGGGATCATCAAATTGCTCGACGAAGAGTCGTTTATGCCCGGGGGAACAGTTAAAAACTGGCTAAATAAAGTCTCAAGTGCAGGAGCAATAAAAACAAGAGAAAACACCATGGAAATAAATCACTATGCAGGGAAAGTGTGGTACTCTGCTGACGAGTTTGTTCTGAAAAACAGGAATACATACTCCGATATTTGCAGTCTTCTAAATCAGACAAATATAGCTGCTCTGCACCAGCCAGAAGAGCACAAAGGCAGACTAAGCCAGGTGGGCGTGATTGGAGAGTTTCAAAAGAGTCTACAAACTCTTCTAACAGAGATAAACAAGAATGTGCTGCACTATGTCAGATGCATTAAGCCTGGAAAAACATCTGAGTTCTGCAATGAGTATGTGAAAACACAGCTCAGGCTAACGGGCATATACGAAACAGTCAAAATATTTATGCTGGGATTCTATGTAAAAACACTGAAAAATGAATTCATGGAAAGATATTCAGTCGATCCAGGAGATGTTCCAGGCGCGCAGGTGGGAGTAAAGTACGTCTTTCTGACAGAGAATGTGTTCAATATGCTTGAGGAGAATAAGAAGGCAAACGAAGCCAATGCAGCCTCCATTATAAAAGTGTATCTGTATGGGAAACACATTTACCAGAAATATTCAAAGATAAGAGAAGAAGAAATAAAAAGAATGGAAAAAGAATTGCTAGAGAAGGAGTTACTTGAGAAAGCCGAGAAGGAGTTACTTGAGAAAGCTGAGAAAGAGAAACATAGAGTTGCACACGATAGCATGAGCAATGTCCAAACTGAAAAACCTGTGTGTGCGCAGATAGCAGCTTCTGAATGTGAGAAAACAGATGTAAATTTATCTGCTGAAAAGAGAGTAGAAGTTCTAGAACTGGATAAACAGCCATCTGATGCCATAGAGAAGCCTGAAGAAGCTGTGCAAACTGAGAGAGCATCTGAACTAGTAATAGACTTTATAAACTCAGACAATTCTATGCACAATCCTGAGAGAAAAGTGAATGCTACGAATACTGACAACGATGACCAAAAAAATACTACTGAGCAGAAAGGTATCAATAGCATTCACATGGCAGATTTAAACACCTCCCCTGCATCGGATGACAATATTAACCCGTTTTTGCAGCATAATGAAACTCTTAGAGAGATCAATCGATGCAACAGCTGCTACAAAACAGAGGAAAAGTATGCAATGCAGGTTCTCTATCTGGCAGAGAGGGAGAACCTCATAGAAAAGCTAAAGTCAGATCTACTGTCTGCTTCAGCAACTATTAAAGAGAAGAACATGCTTATTCGCGACTTAAGCCACAAGATTGAAGTCATGCTCTACGAACTGTCGAGCGGCGAGTATTTCAAAACGACAACCAACCCACACCAAAGCAGCAGAGGAGTGCCGCTCGGTCCTTCAAAACCGGACAAGACCAAGGCATCTGATATGCTTTTTAGAAAAATATGCAAGATCTTTATCCAAACTATACCCCCTGCATATCCTTCGTACTATCACTCTGTGTGCTGCTCGTTTGCGCTGTTTCGCATCTCCGCTATCTGTCCTGGGGGAATCTCTGAAAATATATCAGCTGCAGTCAAAGAATTTCTCTCTTCTGCCTATGCTGTTCTTGTGGTCAAAAAATCATCAATTCCCTTGTACACTGGGTTTTTCCTGACAAATGCTATTTTTATCGCCAGAACTTCGCCCTCTGCACAGACTTCAGAAATGCTCCAGAGCATATACGGAGAAGGGTGCAAGGCAGTAACTGAAGAGATTGTAAACTTTGGGTTTGACTTTCTGTTCAAGCCTTCTATGTCAGACAATGTTAATCTTCTCTCGAGGCTCCTTAAGAAGCCCTCCCTTGACTCGGTTGTTTCTCATCTCAAGATGGTGCACTCTGTTCTTTCGAATCTGTATGTCCCTAAGCCTGTGATTGTCTCTATTTTCGAGTATATTTCTAAAACAATAGACGCGCTGGGATTCGAGTACATAACAAAAAAAGAAAAGAAAATCACAGGAAAAAACATTGTGTACTTGCACAACAGTTTAGATACGCTTTCCTCTCTGCTTATTGACGTAAAGGTACAGGATCCGTACAGCTGCTTCCCCTACCTTAGAAAATACACAGAGTTTGTAGAAATGCAAAAGAAAGGCTTTAGCACCGGATCAATCTCTTTGCAGCTTGGGCCGTTTACGTCATCTCAGCTCATGGCGTGCATATCTTCGCTGTCTCCAGACATACGAGGACAGTGTGCAGAGAAGCTGCAGAGCGCTCTGAAAGACACAATACAGGTTGATAGGATTACCATGCCAACCCCGCTGTTTTCTATGCCACTAAATGCTCTTCCAGATGACCCAAATGAGCTCTACAGTGCCCTGTCTATTTGCCCGGAAAAGGACGCCCTGTGCAGTGCTCTGGAAGAGTTTGGTGTGCCTTCTTCCTGGCTTAAATAGTACAATTTGCTACAAGATACACTGCATAATTTAAAAATAAACCCAGCATAATTAAAAATTTACTAAGTGTATAAGTCTATGCAAATGGATATGTACAATTATTTTCTCTTTTTATAATAAAGCGTAGATAAAGACAGAAAGTAAATAAAAATATAAAAAACAGGTTAAGAAGAGGTGGTTATGATTAAAATGAACATGTTAGGAAGTGAAAGTATGCGTCAATGATTATCTAGTTTATATGAACTGCTCATTAAGTACACTGTATAGCAGATATATGATTGCACAGATATCATCAGTAAAGAAGATCTCTTTACACACAGAGATGATAGAACATAACCACTGCACATGCATGGATTGAAAATTGAATAAAATGATGTCTATGGTGTGTGGCCTGTGGGATAAAATAGGAGACCATACAGCACTAAAAAATTTAATGGAAATAGCCATAGATGAGGCAAAAAAAGCGCTGGAGCTTGAAGAAGTTCCAATAGGCTGTGCAGTATTTCATAAAGGCAGATGTATAGATACAGCCCACAATTTGACAAATAAAAACAGAGATCCCCTGGCGCATGCAGAAATGCTCTGTCTCGAAAGGCTTCCCAAAGAGATGCTTTCGGAAATAGAGCTGTATGTAACATGTGAGCCGTGCATAATGTGCTTGGCTCTGATAATTAAGCTGGGCATTAGAACGGTTGTGTATGCGTGTATAAATCCACGGTTTGGAGGACTTTCTCCGTTTGTAGCAGAAGGCATTTTATCACTTGTAGAAAAGAAGAATGAGCCAGAAAGCAATGATACAGATTATACCGTGAAAAATGATCAGAAAACTTTAGATAAGTATTTAACTAATAAGATAGATATTAACGATAAAGTGGCAGAAGATCAATTGTGCTGTTGTAGTGCACAAGATGCTAATTTAGCGATTAAAACAGAACACAAATGTTCTAGTGTAAAAGTTTACTCATACACAGGGGCAGCTGATAAGAGTGCAAGCTATATAAAGATGGTGTATCAGCCGGCGCAGACATCTCTCGATTTGCTAAAGTCTTTCTACATGCTGGAAAATGGCCGGGCGCCAGTTGAAAAGCGAAAAGTTAAAAACTCACAGCACGCAAAAAATTTTAAAAATGACACAGGACGAGAATAAATTAATAATCCAGCAAGTTGAATTTTATTTCAGCGATGCAAACATCGTAAGAGACGAGTTCTTAAAAAAGCTCATGCTGATGAACGAAGGCTGGGCGCCGTTGACTGTGATTAATTCGTTTGGAAAAATAAAAGCATTTAAAAAGACAGTTAGCGAGCTGGAAAGCATCTTGAAAGAAAGCTCCAAGCTGACCGTAGAGGATGAAAGGATCAAAAGAAACACCCCCATCCCATCATTCCAGGAGCACAAGGGCGAAGAGAAGACTGTTTTGATCAGAAACTTCCCCGTTGAGTACACACTAGAAGATGTGCAGAGTGCTCTGGCCCCGCTCAAAGAGAGAATAGCAAGAATAGCGATGAGAAAGAACGCATTGAAGGAGTTCAAAGGCTCTGTGTTTGTGGAGCTCAATGAAAAAGAAGACATTGAGATCGTGAAAGACTCAAAGCTAACCATTGACATTCCGGTTGAGACAGAGGAGAACGAGTCTGGAAACTCTTCCAAGAAAACAAAAATAGAGCTGGAGGTGGTTGACTCAAAGGAGTATTTTGATAAAAAGAAGGAGGAGAGAAGAGAAAAGAAAGAAGAAAAGAGAAAAGAGATAACCAAACAGATTGTAAACGGATTCAAGAGCAAGATATTCAAATTTACTGTAGCCAAAGGCGAAGAAGAAGCCTCTGAAGAAGAAATTAACAGCTTGAAAATATCCGACATAAAACAAGAGCTGCTGGAGAAGGGCATTGCTTTCGTTGATATTCCCCAAAGGCACATCCGAATGAAGAACGACGAAGAAGAAATAGCGCCCATCAGCGTCAAAGAGTTCACCATTTCATTCACCAAGCTGAGTGAAGAAGAGGTTGAAAAGTACTGCGAAGGGCTCTCTTTAGTTGCAGACGGCAAGACTCTTTCTAAGCCTAGAAGAAAAAGATAGATATGACATATTATGGCAGTTTAATATTACCTAGATAGAAATGCTTGCTAATGCACTCGAGTAATCAGGCAAATTTTTCATGGGAACATATGCTCAATAATAAATAAACATTTATTCACGATTTACCGACTTAGTTATTCCACACATCAGAGTCAATTAACTGATGTTCTGTGTAGCAGTGAATATCTGATGACTAGACATGCTGAAAGTAGACATAAACACATAGGTAAATGTGTACTGCAAATATGTACATTCTAGTCTAAACCAGAACTAATGGAAAAAGACAGGTCATTCCGGTGAAAAAGTTTATTAAGCGCAGATAAATAGATTTGTGCAATGCTTATCTTGTTTTAATATCTTCTACGTCCTTAAGAGATAGTTTATCTATCTACCGATGTTTTCGCGTTTGAATTTTCAATAAATTGCTCAGATAGCTCTTAGCACCGCACATTTTACTTCTTTAGAGTGTTCCACTAGACAATGCCAGCTAAACATCTGTGTGTACAACCTAATAGAGTGTGCTCCATTCTAATTCCGATAAAATTTTCACATAATAACATTTCTTACATCTGAACAGCTCGAATGGAAGACTCCTCTGCACAATATGCGCTCTTTTCTGCCATCTGAGTGCATTTTCAGACATTTACAAAATTTAAATGCTCAATGCTGAAAATTTGAATTAAACTATAAATTCTTTGTTTTAAAAAAACTGAATGGAAAGAGTCAGGAAGATTTCAGAAACGTACCCCATTTTTAAGAAAGTCCAAGATCTTACAAACGGACAGATAAAAGCAGAATACAGTTTTATAGGGCTGGCCATAGTGATATTCTTCAGTTTGTTCTCCAGATGTCTTTCAGGAGCCATAACAAACATATTCTCATTCATTCTCATAGTGGGACCAGCTACTAATCTTATAGTAAGCAAAACATCGCCAGAAATTGGAAACTTAAAACACATTCTTTCGTACTTGATTACCTTTGCGTTCTTCACCGTGACAGAGTCGATTCTGCGCTTCATACCCAGCAGAATACCCTTCTACTACCACGCGAAGTTCCTTTTCTTCTACTATCTTTCGGTCAGACGCACCCAGCTAACTGACTACTTAAACGCTTCTTTATACGTGCCTGCAAATGAAGCCATTAGAAAACTCAATCAAATGGACCCCAAGGCCACCATCAAGGCAGCGCAGTCAGCTGCATCTGAGAAGATAAAGGATCTATCAGAGACCGTTAAGAAAAATACAGGAAGCCCTTCGAAAGAAGAATAAGAAAAATAAAAGTATTCATTGATTGGTATATTTAAAAACATTTAGGAACATTTTCGCATTTGTCTCATGAGGGATAGAACGTGCAGGTACTCAGAAGCAGTTGCATCCGCCAAGAAGGCGCACCGAATAAAGAAGGAGGAGGCTCTGAGGAGGCTTTTTGAGTACAAAAAAAATAATAATTCTGTCCAGTGTCCGAGCAGCCACACGATTGTTTCTCTTTCGTATTCCATGATAGGAAATTATTTGGAGAAAAGAGTGTGCAAATACGACTACAATATATCCTGCAGAAGCTGCCATAGAGAGGTGTACATGTGCGGCATAAACTGCAAGCTCTGCGGGTCTTGGGAGTGCACCCAGTGCATCACCCCGTACGAAGGTGTGAACATCTGCAAAGAGTGCAAATGGGTTGTGTCTGGGAGCGGAATTGTCAGGAACGCAGAGTACAGCATGGAAACACAGGAGCAGTACAGGATTCTCAAGAAGTGTCTGAAAACCCCAAATAATGAAAACATCAAGCAACTGTCGCAAATACTGAAAGAGCTGGAAGTAAAAACAAATGAGAAAGAGACAGAAACTCGGATAAAAAAGAATCTGCTGATACGGGCAAAGATCGCGCTCTGCGACTGGTACATCTACAAGGCAAAGGAAGAAAGGTATTCGATGCTGTTTGAGCAGCTGGAGTACCTTGAAGTTCTGAGACAAACAAACAAATCCTACTCTGACCCAATAGACAGTGCGATCAGAGAAATTTTAGAAGAAATTGCATCGTCCGATCCCCTTAAAGGAAGAAATAGTAAAAATAAATAGCTCAATCTTATGAGGTAGGCCAAAGTTTCTTAGGACATTTGAAAGATCAGCAGTAAACATTATCTCATTGTTCTGTAAGTATTCGGTGTGCAGACAAACAAACAATGAACACTCTGCTTCTTGGCACTCTGCAGGCCCCAAGTAAATACAAAGAGTACATAGAGTACATCCAGCAGCTGCAAAATGAAGGGCTGGTTTACAGGAAAGAAATAGTTGATGATTTAATAGACAGATTTCTTGAGGTGGTGGACGATAACTACCACATTAAAGAGCTGTACACCAGAAAAAAGGTTTTAGTAAGCGGTGTGCCTGAGAGTGATGAAATAAGTGCAATGATCGTGGCTATGCAGAATGCAGCCAACTCCTCTGAATCAGTAATCAGTGCTCAGAACAGTAATGCAGATAGCTGGCATAGAATAAATAGCAGTTTAGATAGCGCTGAGAGCAATAGCTATGTGCTAGAAATGGGAGATACTTCCCAATTAGAAGTGGTAGAACAAACAGCAGATGCTGCTATGAATCTCAGCAGAAATAAGGCAGAGAAAACTTCGCCATTATTAGAAGCAGAAGGTAAATCTTTTATAGAAATAAATGATGATGGCAAGGAGCATAAAATAGCTCACACACAGGACAACCACAGAAGTAAGAGTGAAGCAGATGTAAGTTCTATGCATGCAGATGCACTCAATGGCACACATACAGGTGAAAGCAAAAAAGAAGAAATTCCGCTGGAAAGTGGACTGCCAGAGCACAGTTCGTTAAATAGCAATAGCATTGCAAAGTATTTAGCGGCAGCACGAACAATAAAAACCCCCCACGACCCAACACACCTTCAACAGGCAGCTAACAAGAAGCATCTTGCAAACAGCCAGCTCCTGAAGATAAAGGAAGAGTTCTCTGAGATATCTGCGTATGCTATTTCAATTCTTCTCATAATGGCGCAAATAGAAGATCTGTTATGTGAAGAGACCAAGCAATAAAACTTTTTATATGAAGACCTTCTCCAGAGCAAAGCCTCCACTTGTTTCTATTTTGGATCCGATGTGCACAGAGCAGAAAACAGAGAAAAAACCTTGTACTTTGCTATCTTTTGCTAAACTAAAAGAGCAGCCAGTGCTGGGCATTCCTTCAGCAGACAATGAGATATCTCAGAAAACGGAAAACAGCACTGAGCCACAAAAAGAAGTATTTTCTCGCACAGAAAAAGAAGAAAAAAAGAAAGTCAAAGAGAGTCAGCTTATGCTCAACTTTGGACAGAAGAGATACACAAAGTGCCACGAGTGCGGGGTAATGTACTGCGAAACACTTTCTTCAGAGGCGCGATTGCACAGAAAATTACACAGAAAATATGTTTCAGAAAAAGAAAAAGCTGACCAATTGGAAAAGAAAGAAAGATAAGAGCATTCTCCTGATAATAGAAATGGAACAGAGAGACAAAGTAATACTGTGGCTGGCGCATGACGAAATACAAAGCATGTCAGAGTATGTGGAAGAGCTGAAAAACGAAGGCGTCCCGTCGTACTCAAAAATATCTGTATGGGGATTGGCATTTACAAAGTCCTGGTACAGACGAATAGAAAGACCGCAGTTTGCTATTTACAACACAATTATAAAATGTACAAAGAAGCTTCCATGCCCAGACTGCTACAGGAAAAAAGAGCAGAAAAAGGCAGAGCTAGAAGAAGCGGCCAAAAAAGGAAAGGGAGTCCAAGGAGCGGTTGATGCAGTCAGTAAAGCACTCTCACCGGGAAAGGCGCAAGATGGCAGTAAAGAAGATAAGCCAGACAAAAATGCAGAAGAAAAAGACAGTAAAGAGCCAAAAGAGGATGGTAAAGACAAAAACAGCGAAGTGCCAGAGTCAGAGCACTCGGAAGAAGAAGGAGAAGAGCACTCCATACTCGACGATGAGGAGATAGAGTCGCTGGTAAGCCATCTGGACTGCGACTTTGCAAAAGAAGAAAATAAGTGCAAAACAGAGGGAGAAAGATACTACACAATACGAATGGTGATGCATGCTCTGAAAAAGTCGTACGAGTACAACATGCTTGTGTCGCACAAAAGAGTGCACCCGAAAAACATCGACAAAATATTCAGTCTCTGCATAGGGGCATTTTCGTACTTCACAAGCTACAACATTGAGAAGATTTTCAAAGTCTTTTTTTTCCTGGCATCGAATCTCAACGGAGTGTTTGCCACTAAAAAGGGACAGGATATGACCCAGAAGGAGTTTGACAAGTTTTTGCTCTTTGTGCAAAACACAGCAGCGCTCAGCAAAAACAAGTTTATGATTCTGATCGATGCCATTTCCTCTCTAAACCAGGAAATACTGACGAAGTTTGCATACGACATAATCAAGGGAAACATATCTGTTACGGGGGTTCAAAAAGAGCTGTTTGATAAATACTCAAAGCCCAGCGCAGCTGAAATAGACGAGTTTAAAAAGACCCATCCGTTTTCGCTTTTAAGCACATTTACGCCCCGGATTATCTTTTTGCACCAGAAAGAGAATAAAACGCTTGACGAGCTGAAAAAGGAAAACGCCTATCTGAAAGAAAACATAGAAGTGCTTCTAAGTGACCTGAAACATTCAAACACCTCAGGGTTTGCAGCCCAGCTTAAGAAGGATTTAGAAGAGAAAAACGAACAGATAAAGAAACTGCAAGACAAATAAAAGCATCTGTTGCATTCCAAATATTTAAGCTATTTTATTTATTTTTATTTTCCATACTTGATCCGTGTAGTTCAACATTACAATTTTAATAAGTACGTAATTTATTTAGTGTACGCTTTCATTACTATAGCAATGCATTGCATACGAGACTCTTCTCTCTAGCCGATAAATTGACTATAATACGAGGCTTAACAATGAGATTTCCTCTTTTCAAGCTTTTTGTTCTATCTGGAAGGCCTTCTCCTTCGAGCACAGTGTCTTTAGAGTTGTCTCCTATAATCTCACTGTTAATTACAATGTTGTTGTCCTTAAGGCCTTTTATCACTTTCTTAAATCCTGAGAGATATTCTTTGATCCCTATGTCAAACTCGTATATTATATCGTTGCCTGACACTTTGTAGTATGCGTGCGGCTTTTCTATTAAGACAACAACTATATCTGTTCCACTTCCGTCTGGCTGGCAGTCTCCTGCATTTGCGTATGTTATTTTTGTTCCAAATTTGTATCCCGGTAGAACATTTACATCCAGAACAGTTTCTTCTCTTTCGCCCGACGGGATGCGCCTTCTGATTCTTATCTTGCGCAGTGAGCCCGTGCATATCTCCTCAAGAGTTATTGCCATTTTGTATTCAAGGATGGCATTGGGGCCATTTTTTTCTTTTCCTTGGCTTTGGCCATGCGTGTGTCTTTTTCCTCTTCCAAAAATATTCTCAAACGCATTATTTCCTCGTCCTCCCCCGAATATTGATCCTATGTCACTAAAGCCATCAAATCCGCCAGATCCTGCTGATTCAAAGTCAGTGAACGAAAATCCATTTCCAAAGGATCCTCCACCGCTGCCTCTACCTCCTCCTCCAAAGTTGAAGTTGAAGTTTCCAAAGTCTGAGGGGTCTCCTCCAGGCCTTCTCTGGCCTGCCTCCTCTTGTGTCATGCCTGTTGCATCGTAGAACTCTCTTTTCTTTTTATCTGTGAGGACCTCGTATGCAGCGTTTATCTCTTTGAATCTGTCCTGCATCTTTTTCTTTTCAGTCTCTGATTTGTTTGTGTGCATGTCTGGGTGGTACTTCCTTGCCAGTGCTTTGTATGCTGATCTTATTTCGCTTTCTGTTGCGTTCTTATTTACATTTAATATCGTGTATAAGCTTTTCTTGCTGTCCATTCTTAATTGAATGTTTGAAAATTGTTTTATTTTTTTCAAGTTCCAGAAATTTCTAATGACAAAGCCGTGCTCATTAGCAGACTTCCTAACGGATGAGTCAGAGTTTGTCCAGAAATTGTCAGCTGGGCAGCTGACCAATAAGGAAATATTCGAGATATGCGAAGAAGCAACGGAAATATTTGCGTCTGAGCCGTTCATGCTCAGCCTCTCCTCTGAGATTGTTGTTATCGGAGATATACACGGCCAGTATTTTGACCTTCTCAACATTCTGAAACTGTCTCCGTCTTCTAAGTATCTGTTTCTTGGAGACTTTGTGGACAGAGGAGCAAACTCTGTGGAGACAATAATACTTTTGTTTTATATGAAAATTAAATACTCTGATAGCGTATGGCTCCTTCGGGGAAACCACGAGTCTCTTCGAACATCGTCCTGCTACGGCTTCCAGGATGAGTGCATGCGGATGTATGGGTCTAAGCTCGTGTGGTACAGGATATGCTCAGTTTTTGACTTTCTTCCCATTTGTGGGATAATCGACAGCCAAATATTTGCGGTGCATGCAGGGATTGGGCCAAACTTGGACATTACAAAGTTTGAAGCAACGCAAAGAGTGGGCGATGTTCCAAGTGGAGGAGACATAGCCAATCTCCTGTGGAGCGATCCAGACCCGCTGGTAGACAGTTTTGTGGAGAGCAAAAGAGGAATTGGGTACTACTTTGGAGAAAAGCAGGTAGACGAATTCCTCAGAAAAACAGGACTAAAAAAAATCATTCGGTCCCATCAGCTTGTGGACGAGGGATACAAGGAGGACTTCAATGGAAAAGTCATAACTATATGGAGCGCACCAAACTACTGCTACAGATGCATGAACAAAGCCGCAGTGGCAAGGATAAGAGGCGAGACCATAGAGTACTGCGAGATACCCGTTGCAGAGTTCCAAAGAAAAGAGACAAAGCCGCTCTCCTACTTCTTGTAACTAAGCATTACACAACACCACTGTATTTTGCACATCTAGAGCACCCTCTATTCTAGATCTGATTATGTTGCCATAAAAGGAAAATAAGTAAAAATTTTTATTTCAAAATCAATGTTTAAATAGTAGAATAGCATTCTATGGCCTAGGACAGCGCTCTGCTAGTTTTTGTACTTTATCTTTGGCAGAGTCTCTCACGTGAACAGTCAAAGGAAATGGAGAAATGTTTGTTTATCTTTTCTAGCTGCACTGCAACTACTGATATTTTCGGATTATTCTTATCTACCCGCTAGTCTCTTGTTTTTATAACCATTCTCTGTATCTCTCCCTTTACTCCTGCGCGCTTCATGATTCTTTCCTCGATTGTTCCTGCTGTTATAAGCCTATATACTGTCACCTGCTTTGTCTGTCCCAGTCTGTGCGCTCTGTCCATGGCCTGCTGGTCTGCAGTCGGGTTCCAATCGCTGTCGTAGAAAATAACAGTGTCTGCTGCTGTAAGATTGATCCCAAGTCCTCCTGCTCTTGTGCTCAGCAAGAATATAAACTTTTCGTTGCTGGACTGCCAGTCTTTTACGAGCTCTTTCCTATTTGATATTCTACTGCTTCCATCTAGCCTTAGATATGAATAATTTCTAACTGTCAGGTACTCTTCAAATAAATCGATCATTCGCGTCATCTGGAAGTACATCAGGACTCGGTGCCCCTCTTCCTTGAGCTTGGGAAGCAGAGTGTCCAGAATAACCAGCTTTCCGCTATCGCTCACAAACCTTTCCATCGAAGGAACATACACAGCCGGCTGTCGAATGCACTCCAGTGTCTCTGCAGGTGCTGGAGTCTCTTCAGGAATGACTTCAGGTGAGACCATTTTTCTCATGGGAGGAAGGCACCTGGGAATGACTATTTCATCGAATAGACTATAGCTCTCTTCTCTGTCATCCACTAGCAGTTTTATCCTTTTAGATACCGGTGTTTTTACGATAAAATTTTCTTTTGAAAATGTGTCTCCATCTTCTACTGCCACTGCATCCGATATTTTTCTTTTTCTTGAAAATGCCATATCAGAGAGCACGCGGGGAATGTACACCTCAGTTGCTGGCTGGCTCCACCCCGAGGATGTTTCTCTTTTTTCGAACAGATCGGGGTGATTGCAAACTTTTCTGAACTGCATCACAAGGTTCATCAGGCCCTCCATTCCCTCGAGGTCATCTGGCAGCGCTTTGTCCAAGAATGACGCCATGGGAGCCCGTGCGCTGATCCCTTCGTACAGTCTCTTCTGCTTTGGGCTTAGCTCGCATATGATTGTTTTCTCTATTTTCTGTCCCAGTTCATCTGCTACATCCTTTTTCTCACGCCTCAGCATAAACGGCTGCAGAACCATCCTTAGCCTGGCCGCCTCATTCACGCTGTCTCCATCTTCTATTTTAAACCACTCTGAAAATTCTCCATGTGAGTCAAAGAGTGTGGGCATGATGAAGTGGAGAAGAGCCCACAGCTCCTGCAAAGTGTTTTGGATGGGCGTTCCTGTAAGGAGGAGTCTGCTCCGGGTTTTGAAGGAGAGGAGGGTCTTCCATCGGGTGCTGCTGCTGCTTTTGATGGCCTGTGCTTCATCCAGCACCATATATTGCCATTTTACCTTGCTGAAATATTTTTCATCACTGACTGCTAGCTGATAAGACGTGATCACAACGTGAAACGGAGAGTCTTCTCTTTGCAGCTTTCTCTGCTGCCAAGACTTTCTGTACGCTTTTCTCTCAGCCACTGCGCCCCAGTACGAGGTGACTTTGAAGCTTGGCACGAACTTTGCAAACTCCTGCTCCCAGTTGTGCAGTGTGGAGGCAGGTGTGATGATCAAAAATGGCCCCCAAATATTTTCATTTTCTGCCAAGTGCGCAAGAAACGAGATTGCCTGCACTGTCTTCCCCAGGCCCATTTCATCAGCGAGCATTCCGTTGATCCCCTGATCGTACAGACTGACAAGCCACTCTAGCCCTCTTTTCTGGTAGTCTTTCAGAGTGCACTGGAGTATTTTGGGGATTTTCACGCCTTCTGATATGGGAAGGATCGAGTTGTTGTAGACTGTCTGCGCCTTTTCCTCTTTTTCTGCTGGTGCTGTGTCGAACTCTTTCACTGCTAGCCGGTGCTTCTCAGCTGCCTCGAATGCGATCTTTGACTCTTCGTCTATCTCTTCGTTTTGTTTCTTTTTTCCAAGAATAAAGTGCGAGAAGAGTTCGGTCTGTGTGATTAGGAAGTTCAGTTTTTTCTCTTGTCTCTGCTCTTCTTTTTTCTCTTCCTCTTTTTTTCTTCGCTCGTAGTCCTCTTTCTCTTCTTTCTTTTTCTTCTCTCTGCTCGATCTTTCGGCTCTCTTGAAGAAGGTCTGCAGCTCTTTTGTTATTCTTTTCCCTTTTAGGAAGGGGTTTGTCTTTGCTGTCTTTGTCAGCGCTCTTTTCAGCTCTCTCTGGCACACTGTGCTTATCTTCTTGTGCTGTGCCTGCTTAGTGCTGATATTTTGCACGAGAATTTTAAAAATCTTTGGAACTGATTTTTTGCAGATCTCTTCGTATATCTTTTTGGTCTCTTCTCCAATGGTTATCTGGTCTTTTGTGCTCTGCTGTGTCTTGAGCAGCTCCAGCTCTTTCTCTGGATTTGAAAAAGAAATGTAATTGTCCATGCTTGGCTGCGGCAAAACACTTGGGTCAAGCCCAAGAGTCCTGAGGGTGTTTCTTGCTGCATCAAATCCTCTTTTCACCTTTCTTTCAATTCTGCACATCTTTTCTATTCTTAGCTGCCGCCCAAAATCTATCTGGTACTGGACTATGTTGTCTGCTACATCTTGCTCTTGTGCAGCCATGCTAAACAAAAATTAAAATTACTTATGTCTCTTGTTCCATCTTATATTTATTTCTTTCAAATTATTTTGTCTCTCAGAATATAATAAAAACAGAAGCGAGAAGAGCTGCTCCTTTGTGCTTCTTCAGTCTCTGCAAGGAGATTCTATAAAAGGACTCGTTCTTCTTTTTGTTCAACTCTTAGCGTCACTTGAATTTTGGAGTGTTTTCGAGTATGTTGGCTTAATCTTTTTTATTAAACCGCACAAATAGTGATGAGACTGTCTAAATTGCCCGGTAGCGCATCCTTAGATAGAATAAAACTAGAGAATGCTGTTTCTTCAGCTAATTTGAGCAATCCCACTGTATATGAAGATTTTATATTAATTATATTTATTTATACTCTGCAGAATAATCGCTGCTATCGTCGTAGTAGCTGTACTCACTCCGCAGCCAGTTATACTTTTTCTTCAGTCGGTGCAGTCTGTGCAGAAGGTCTCTTTTTATTTGCAGCTGTTTCTCGAGTGAGATCAGCTCTTCTTCTATTGCCATCTTTTGTTTTGTTACATTTTCATACTTCTTTGTCAGCCCTTGCATTTGTGCCTTCAAACTCTCCAGTGTATTCTCTATCATGGCTATTTCATTTTGTATTAGCTGAATGGAGTGTGCTGTCGAGAGTTTTTCTTTTTTTAATTTAGACAACTCCGTCTGTCTCTTCTCAACCTTGAGGGAAGTGCGGATGTATGCTTCTTGTTCTTTTTTTGTTCTCTTTATCTCTGATAAAAGATCCTGCAGTCTTTTGTCCATTGGCTTGGATGCTCTGTACAGAGGCTCAGTGGAGTCTATTTTTTCTTTATTTTTTACTCTGTACTCGCCAGAATCTTCCGTCTCTGCGTAGTTCATATGCGGTTCTCTTATATGTATGTGCGGTGTGTTGTGCATGATTCCCTCGATAGGCATTGAGCTCTGCTTTGGGTAGATGTTAGGTATGTGCTGTCTTCTGTGGAGATGGCTTGACTTGTTGTTTGTGCTGTTGATTGTTACTGATCCGTGTCTTTCAGGTGTTTCTATGTCCTCTAGCAGTATTATTTCAGATAGTATAAAGGGAATAAACAACATAAATACTTTACTCCATTTATTCTGTACCATTTTGCGCAATTTTCTTGTCTTCTAATAGTTGTTTCACAAGCTGAAACAGCCCGTATCCGCCACACAGAGCCTGAAAAAAGAGATATATCAACTCTGTAACGTTTTTTCCAGCCTGTATTTCATTATAGATAGTAAAATGTGCAGAGAAGACATAAGCGGCCATTTTGTTGCCATAAAAGAAATGGTTGATCTGCTGGCTGCATTGCACAGCAGGAAGTCGCTCAGTCTTTTTTCTCCCCCCGGCCTCATTATGATGTCAAAGGGCACAGTTATTCCATCTGTTGTAGTGTTCACATACTCGTCAATGGAAGAGTATGAAACAAATATAAAACACGACTTCTTTGTTCCTGTGTCCTTGTTTATTCTTTTTACATGCGTGGCTATATTGCTGGGCATAGATGAAACATCGCCCACTATTGCCAGCTTTTCTTTCAGCTCTCTCTGGTTCGAGGTCTCTAGCTCTGTAAAAGCGCTTTCAAAAATTTGCATTATATCTGAGATTTCTTCAGGTGATCTGTTGTAGTTCTTTTTCCCAAAGGCAAAGAGCCCCACGCTCTTGCACTCGATTGCCTTCAGATACTTGAGCGTCTGAAGCATGTGTTTGTATCCGAGCATGTGCCCACTCTTCCGTGATATTTTAGCTGATTTTGCGTATCTTCTGTTCCCATCCATGATCACGGCTATTGCCAGGCCCCGAGGGACTATTAGCTTGCTAAGGATCTCAACAATTCTTTCTGTTAGAGAGGAGAAAATAAAAATCCAGGAGAAGTGGATGCGCACAAACTCGTGCATCCTTGCTATTCTTTGGCTTTCAAGTATCCCGTCTATTATGTTCAGCGTAAGAAGTGTTATACCTTCACTGCACTTATCCAGTAAGGACATAAAAAAAAATAAGCATTTGGCATATAAATGGGAGTAGTGGGGTGCATGGAGTGTGGCTCTGTCCACAGAAACACAGCACAGTATGCGCTGCATATAAAAGCCACCAACCACAGAAAAATAGAAGATGGCCTGTGGTATGTGAGCAGGATAGGCCGAAACGAAGGAGTGTTTTTTCAAGCTCTGGTGCAAGAGATCGACTGGGCTCCCTCCTATTACGTAGAAGAAAATGAGATTGAGACTATTTTGCACGTATACGTTTCTGAGTCTGAAAATATTTCTCTAATAACTGACAGAAAGTGTGTTAATAGAAAACAGAGCTTTGATTATTTTGATGCTGAGCTGTCGATATATACGGTGCATCTAATGTTCAATTTGTATAACGAAAAAGACACCAGTGCAAAAAAATGAGTTCATTCTAAAAAGAAAAAAGAATGAACACGTCGCATGAGAGTATGTCTCTGTACTTACATGGATAAATAAAGATGTTTTTTAGATAAATCAGTTATGAATCACTTCCAATATATATTCTATCTTGTCTTCTCTAGATCAGTTGCTATAGAGCACTCCTAAATGGTTTTAAAATGTATTGAGATAGATAGTTATAGTATGTCAGCACATCCAATGCTATTCAGTCGAACAGTGTGTATTACACCTTTTTATTCTGTGTTGCAGTGTTTTTAGCTGCTAAGAGGCAAGTCCTGTGCTTCTTTAGATGTTTCTACTCCTCTGCATTATGATGTTATATGAAACTTAAAAAATAGAAAGTGTTCAACACTGCAGACAAAACTCGTACCAATTTATTTTTAGATGTTTAATTTTTTCTTGCAGACACAGTGCAAATAATACCATACTTGTTTCTTTGGAGTTGTATCATTCATAAACAAAACCTTGCTGCATGTGGATATTTAAATACCATTTAGTTTCGATAAGCAGGCTGTGTTTTTCTGTACGAAATGTATCCAACTACAGTAAGAATGCACAGGGGAAGAAGACTGCACCGGACTATGGTAACTACAATGCTGAATACTCCGACACTCCTCAGAAGAAAGTTTCTGTCTAGGATGTCATGTGGTTTCTTCATGTATGCTAGCAGAAGATACAGTCTCCTTATCAGGTCTGCTGTCTTTAATGGATGCTCGGTTCTTTGTATAAACTCATCTAAAGCGCTGGAGCTAGGTAGGGTGGCTGGCTCTGAGAAGTAATTTCGATACAGTCCTATTTTGTACATCACTTCTTCAAAGACTATGCCAGGCCCTGTTTTGCACATAAACCACAGTACATATGAAAGCTTTTCAAGAAACCATGGATAAAAATAGGCATTTTTTTCATCTGCAGCACTCTTTGCCAGCTGAGATATGTACGCTGATTTCTTGTTAAATATGCGAGAATTGTATAAACTTATGGGCGGATCTCCTGTAGTCTCTGAGATGGTATACTTTTTCAGAAAATCTGGCTCGTATATTCTTTGCTGGCGCTGGATTGCAGAGTTCACTTTCCAATCGGATAGAATTTCTAAAAAGTACACAGCTGTGTACACAAAGACTGCAATTTTCAAAAGAAGTGCACGTTTTGAGAGAAAGCACATCAGAGCAAGCTCGATTGAGAGCGCGTATAGAAAATAGACAAACATCGAGGAAAGTAGAGCAAATGCGTAATCTACCATGGTGTAGCTGATTACCTCTCGCATTTTATTGCTGAGGAGCCAAAAGTGCAATATCAAGTAGAACAGAACATTGCATATAAAAGGAACAAAAAACTTACTAACTGCTTTTTCAATCACAAAAGCTGCCAGAAACTCAACTACTGTAAACGCACCCTTTGATATGTCTTCCTTGCATCGGAGATAGTTCTCGTGCGCGCCCATGTAGGAGAGCATGAAACAGTCACACAGGAAGTAGAAAGCGCCAAGTGCTCCTGCCATTGGAGAAAGTATCCAGTTTGTCCATTCTATACTCCCAGACACCCTAACAAGTGAATAGATGTATTTTCTTGTCTCTTGAAAAAAAGAGGAGTTTTCTAGGTCAATAGTCTGCAAGACACTCAGAACATTTTCATAGTAGTTTACACTCTCGTTCAAATCATTGAGATACTGTGTCTTTTCGAAGAGTTTTCTCGTTTCAAGTGTGCAACTTCCAACAAATATGAATATCGTGAAGTTGGCAAATATCCCAAGTAGCACTAAAAACATTAAGTTGGTGATGTTAAAACGGAGTGATCTTTTTAGTATTTCCTCTACTTTCTGCCTGTCAACTGCACACGAGCGCATGAAAAGAATGCTTTTACCGGTTTTTAAGCCTCTGGGCTTGTTTAGAATGGAGACAGTGAGGTTGGAAAGCCTTGCAATGTTTTCAGCGTCTATCTGATTTTTTGAGATATCAGCACTGATCTGAATCAGGTAGCCAGAAAAGAGCCTATTTGCACAGCAATATATGCCATACCACTCGAAGTAGCAGCGCATGTCTTTTTCAGGGCCTGAGTAAATCACTGTTGAGGCGTGCAGAAACACAACCCAGTCAAACGCCTCGATGACATCCTGTGTTGGATGGCATAGACTGACTATGTCAGTGCTTTTTCTGCTTCTAATGAAAGATAGACGAGAGTGCACTTCCTCGTTGGTCAGCCCAGACAGAGGGTCATCCCACATATTTACATCTTTTTCTTCTAGAATTCGGATGATAAATGTAACGGTTTTTTGCTCGCTGTGCGACAAGTGAGAGAGCTTTGCGTCTCTTAGGCTCTGCAGCTTGAAGTAGAAGAGAAGTTCATCAACAAGTTTTATATTTTTTTTGTGTAGGACAGCCACCGATCTGAGAACTGCAAAAACACTTAGCGCCTTTTGAGGTCTCTCCATATCCGGTGCATGGTATGCTGCTCTGGAAGCCCACACTTTGATGTCTCTCTGCGATATCCTGCCGTTCCTGTCTGGCGCCAGCACATCGCCGTATGTGGTGTGGCCATCTGCGCAGATTCCTGCAATCCTTTTCAAAAGGGCTGTTTTTCCTGCTCCTCTCGAGCCTACTAGTGCGATAAGGCCATTCTTTGGAAATCCGCAGGTGATGTTGTGCAGCAGCACAGTCTTATCTTCTGTTTCCAAAGTGTAGTTACTGAACTTTATAACATATTCGATTTTTGTCTTGCAGTCCATAGAGCAGTCCATGTCCCTCAGCAACTCATTTCTTATCATATTATAATTTTTAGATAGATACAAAATATAAAAGTAGAAAGTAGCTCTGCCAACAGATCTAGAGAAGATGCATTAGAGAGAAGAAGATGCTCAGTGCAGGCATTATTTATCATGCTATGCTAAGATAGAGTACAGAAATATGTGTAGTCTAGCTTTGTAGAGGTTTTCTCTCTTTTTCTTTCTGCTATTTACAACTATTGTATAAATTTGCTTGGGTTCACAAGTATATACTGAATTGTGTTTATGGCAAAATAAAACATAGTGATAGACTATATTAGTAAGACTAGAAACATGTTTACTTCTCGTGCGTGACTTATACTGCAAGAAATTTAGGTTCGAGTGGGAGACAGTGCTATATGGTGTAGTGGAGAGCTATAATGAAACAACAGCAGGTGTAATTAATAGTGTATATAGAAGAAGAAAGACAACAAAAATTTTAAAGCAAACAAATGGCGGAAGAGGAGGAGAGAAATGTGTATATAGAAGACATTACGCTGCTGGACATATCGAGGGACTACATAGCAAAAATATTCGATGCAGAGCAAAGAAAAAAAGAGATAGAGATTAACAAGGCAGAAGTAGAGGACAGGACAAAGGCCCTGGAGGCACTCATGCAGAAAGGAAGCGTAGAGGTGCTCAAAGATCTGGAAAGACTGCCGCAGGTCATCCAGGAAATGAAAATATTCAATAAAAAAATAGATGAAGCCGAGGAGCAGATACTCGTGACGAGTATACGGCAGAATGAGACAAAGAAGTCGCTGCACGAGACCAAAAAAATAAAGGAAAGAGTAAAAGAGTCGCTGGCGGGAATAGATAAGATCGAGAAAATAATAGAAAACACAGAGTATCTGGAAAGGATTTCAAACAAAACAATGATACAAATAGATAAAATAATCAGCCAAAGAAAAAGACTGCCAGAAGACGACGTGCATGCGATATTCCTGTGGGTGTCCGCGTACAAAAAGCTAGGCGTGCTGTCAAAGCAGTTCACAGACTATTCGTTCTACACTGCCATGTGCCTGACTCTTGAGCAATCAGAAAAAAGGCTTATTGTAACAGCAAATCTCATGGCCCAGTGGTGGATATGCGAGGTGTCCACAGGCATCGTGCAGCTGGGAGAGCAGAAAGAGCAGAAAAAGAAAGAGGGTGGAGACATGACCGTTTCGGAGGAAATAAAAGAAATTCGTAAGTTTGCACTATCGAACAGAGACTTTGTGCTTGTGAGCAAGTACATATACGAAGAACTCGACAGGGCAGAAGAGTTTACAGAGTACATAAACAACGCCAGAAGACGCGAGCTAATAAAGCTGTGCAAATTGCAGGTAGATAAGTACAGCATAGACAGGAGGCTGGGGGTGTGCATAGACATCTTTCTAGAGTTCTTTTCCGTTGACAGAGAAATAAAATCTTTTATAAGCCAGAATATAGACCCTGCAGTAGAAGAGTACGACCGAGCCATACAAAAAAAACTGGAGTCTATAATTAACTCTATTCCGCTGGAGCAGACGGATGACCACTATGTATTTAAAAAGATAAAGCTCTTTTTCCTATCCATCCAGAAAGAGAAAGACACACACTTCAAAAACATCTCAGAGATTCTTATACAGTCGACGTATAAGTGCATAGACAGCGAGTGCAATGTCTCGAAACAGAAAATAAAAAGCATCAAAGAAGAAAAGAAGCCTGTCAAAGAAGTCCTATTTGCCGTGGCATCAGAGATAAGAAAGTTTTTCCGGGAGTCAAAGAACATGATATACGAAGTAGAGCAGATCGAAAACGAGCTGGACGACATCATCTTAAAGTGCACAAACAGCTTGGTGTGTCTTATATCAGGCGTACTCGAGAATTCTTCGCCTGAAGAAGCTCTGCAGGCCCAAGGCTTTGCAGCTGATCTGAAGGATAGCATCAGAAAAGAGCTGGAAGACCACAGCCACAGCATCTCAGAAGAGTCTCTGCTTTCAAAGATCCCTGAAATCAAGAAAATCAGCGAAGCCGAGACAAAGATTGTGCAAAGAACACAAGAAGAGCTAAAGAAAAAGCTCGACAGCATCTCCAGCCAGATTGTGAACAGCTTGAAGAGAATAACCGCAGAAAGCAGCATAACTCTATACCCCACAAAAGTATCGGATGTGCTGGAAGCGTACAAAGAAAAAGTGCCAATTTCCTTTTTGCAGAAAGAACTAGACACCATACTAGAGTTTACTCTGGAGTGTCTTCCCCAGCTAAAAGTTTATAAACAGGTTGATTCAGTTGAAAATGACTTTGCAGTGCTGTACAAGTCTGTGCAGTATCTGAACCTGGAAACAGAGAATACAAAAAATATACTGAAAATGTTTACTGAAATTGATTGTCTACGAAAGAATCTGAAAAAGAGCGCGTCTGATGCAATCGGCACAGACTTAGATAGTCTTTTGGCCAAGTACTCAAAAAAGAAAGATAGGATAAGATAAGAGTTATGCACAAATAAACACACAATATGTCTAAAAAGATAAATTAAACAATCTATGGTCTTTTTTCACTTACACAGCATCTCTATAGAAGCACTATACTGTCTGTCACATAGAATCCTCTCCTCTTTTCATCATATTTGAGAAAGTCAAACATTCCACACTCTTATCAGGTCAACCTCTATATGCACAACGTCTTTTTTTTGGAACTTGTATGTTTTTTTGAGCTCAAAGTACATCTTCGACAAGACTTTTATTCTCCCCTCGTACTTTGTTTTAAAATACTCTCGCGTGCTGCTTTTGTGCATGGAGTACACTACGTCTGCCTTCTCTAGGGCTTTCTCCAAGAACAGGGCATCTATTCCGCTATTGTTCTTCGTTCCAAATGGCGGGTTGATAACTGCTGTGTCGCATCTTTCTACACTTCCAAGCCCGTCATTTACTATGTCCAAATTAGCAAATGTATATTTTTCAGTAAAGTCTTTATCCAAGTTTCTTCTGTATATTTCTTCTACATCCCTATCTATGTCTACGCCTGTAACCTCCCGCGCTCCATACAAGAGCACTGCAGCACTGAGCATTCCCGTTCCGCATCCCAAGTCTAGCACTTTCTTATCGCGCACATCATCGTTTTCAACGGCCATCACGTGCGCCACAGAACAAGCAAGCTCTGAGGGCGTCATGTACTGCTCGTGCTTTATCTTTGGCTTTTCAAATCCTTGAATGCCGTCAAGCATCCATTTAGCCTGCTTTAGCTTCATTTTTTTTCAATTCATTTTTTATGGATATTTTTGTACACTCGCTCAGTGTTTTTATGTGTGCGCTATTCGAGTAGACGGCCTCCATAAGATTTCCCTTCGACGAGCAAAGGTTCCCATCGCCATCGTGTTTACTGCCTAATAGGTGCGCCAGCTCGTGCGCCATGGTTTCTCCTATTTCCTTCGACGTATCTCTTTTTTTTATCGAACAAACGGCTATTGGGCTTCCCTTTAGTATTCCTCCTTCTATAGATGCTCCATGCACGCGTGTATCCTCTTCGCTGTGGAGGAAGAATATTGGATCTCCTGTGTTAGGCAGCATCCCCTTTTCTTTCATCCTTTTTGCTATTTTTTTAAGGCCTTCAAAGAGAACTATTCCTTCTATGTGCTGGTTGTAGTCTGATTGGATCTCTTTCGCATCGTCTTTGCTGTCAGATCTCCGCAGATTTGCATACTGTATGCTCCTGCATGTAATTGCTATTCTTAGCTTGCTATCTGCGTATATCTTCTGCAGAATAGCAACGGACTCTTTTATTTTCCATTTTGGGATGTCTTTGTTCTCTGCAACAATGCTGATCTTCAAGTGGATGGGCCCAGCTTCTTCTTTAAAACTCCTGCCCGAGCAGCCAGAGAGAAGATGCAGACAGCACCACAGCAATAGCCCACAGCACACCATGTTTATTTGTTGTTTTTACTTTTGGACACAGCTTAAGAACAGAACAGAAGAATTCAGATAAAGCTGCTGAGAGATAGCCGATGCTTTCAAGACAAAATTTTTGATTGCAGCTAAGATCTGGAGTTATATAGGTCTTTTTTCGGCTAGAGCTTCATAATACGCCATAACGATTTGGCACACCTCTAACAATATTTTATCTAAAACGCCTTCTTCAAACACCCTCGTATAACCAACAAGTTTTCACAGAACAGCTGGAGCAGTGAAACACAATTTGGAGGCTACTATTTTAAGTGAAAAAATTTGCGACTGAATGTCAGAAAGTGTTACGATGGATATAACAAAAGAGGAGGAGAACACTTTCCTCTTCTACTATCAAATAAAAATGCTGGGGCTGTGCGACCATCTGAATATTCCTGTTCAGATTCAGAGTACTGCAATTACATATTTTAAAATATTATTTACCAAAAGAAGAGTTTTTCACTATGATATGAAAAATCTAATTGTGGCGTGTGTTCTTCTGGCGATGAAGGTTGAGAACGTTTTCATGACAGCCACGCACATGAAAGAGCAGCTGAACTTTGCAAACGTGAAGCTGCTTGCTGCGTACGAACTCGAGATTTGCAACGCGCTGAAGTTCAATCTGCACGTCGCGTCGCCGCATCTCAGGCTGCTGGGGCTCTTTCTTCTGCTGAAGAACAGAGAAAGAGTAATTGCAGAGATGGACGGCCAGGTGCAGACACAGGACATCTCGGAAACAGACGAAGCCCTTGACTGGGCGCAATCCGTTGAAAATCTGAAAATTCTGATGCTATTGGACAATTACCACACACTCGATCTTAATCAGGTGGCAATGGCTTCTCTGCCTGTACAGCCGTCCTGTCTGGAGGGATTCTTCATGAAGGACACCATAGAAGCCGTTAAAGACCTTAAAAAACAGATGAAAAGAAGAGAGCTTCCGTCGCACGAGCAGGTGGCAAAAATAGAAAAAAAAATAGCAACAATCCAGAAAAAGTACAAAATATTGGAAGTATAACCAGATAAAAGGAGCTCTTTATTGCACAAGCTTTAGAAGTGTTCTTTTATAGTTGGCGGGGTTCTCGTCCCAGCTTATCTCTTTCTCTTCATAGATTAATCGACCACATATCCCTCTTTCTTCTAAGTATGCTTTTAATAAAGAAAATGTGGGGCAGTCACCCATCTTTACAACAGTGTTCTTTCCCTCTATTGTCAGCTTAAACACTATAGAGTCCCCTCCCAGATCAATGTGCGACTTTGCTTCTGTTGGTATCGCAAGATTGACAGTGCGCGAGGCGCCTGGATAGTCTTCTTTGTATATTTCATCCGATTTATCAACGACTTCTACGTCGATTAAGTCGTCTTGGTTGATGTTAAATAAATCGCTGGGCAGTTCTTTGTTTTTGAAAATATTTTCCATTGTTCTTTTTATTTCAGCCTCTTTTAGGGGCGTAAACTTTGAATCTATCAGAAAGCCATTTTTGTATATGGTGAACTTTCTTTTCCCCACGGCCTCCTCTCCCTGGTTCATCTCGCTGTGCTTCATCAGCTTTTCAAACTCTTCTGCATATCCTGACTTTGGCATTTCCACTATTTGGCCGCTGTTTCCTCCGACATAGCTTGTTCTTTTTTCAGCTCTGTGCTCTTTTATAATCACCTCCGCAATTGCCATGTCGTCTCTTGCTATCTGCAGCGCGTTTCTTGCCTGGTTTTCAGTGCAGTTTAGTTTTTCAACTAGTATCTTGATGTTCGAGCTTGCTGCTTCTTTTGCCATAAAAACATTTTAAATACTTTATTGTTCATAAAGCCAAGTATTTTAATTGCACAACATAGCAATAAACATTTATTAAAACACATTCCATCAAAGAGCAGCAGCAGGTTTGTAGGACACAAAGAGTTAGCGGTTGATCTTTGATAACACAGTGTGTACACGTAGTAAGAATCAGAACACTCTATCATAGGATATAGTAGAAGAGTATAGCCAGAGAATGTTTGGATTGTTTCCTATGGTCATTCAGTGCCAATGTGGAAGATACTCTTTTTATGGGATGTACTCCAGCCAGGCTACACTGCTGTTCTCTTTTTGAGATTTTGAGAGGAGCCCTTTAGAAACAAGAGAGTCTATTCTCTTCTGGACTGTGTCCTTGTTGGCATTCTGTTTCTCTGTTATTTTTCTAATTATGTCGTCTTCCTTCTGGGGAGAAACGCTTTTAAGCTGTCTTGTAACATAGCTGTCTATGGACAAATTTATAAGTTTTTTGTGCTCTGTGACTTTTTCGGTGCTTTCCTCAATTTCGTACTGTGGAAGCAGGTTGCGCCATTGGCTTGCATTGCTGAAGTGCACGCTCTGTTCTACCACGCCTCTGCTGCTGTCTATTTGAAGAATGCCCTGGCTGATAAAAGGTGCTATGTGCTGTTTGTACGTTTTTAGCTTCTTTTCGAGCATTTCTTCCGGTATTTCCGAGTCTTGTATTATTTTCAGCACAATCCAGTACTGGAACAGCGATAGAAGCGCAACCTCCTCATTTACTTCTATTTCAACTGTTGACAAGCTGTCCATCCATTCGAGTTTTATTTTGTTTTTCTTTTTTGAGTTCTCTATCGCTCTTTTCAGGTTTGACAGCTCTGGAATGTCTCTCAAGTCAAGCTTTTCAAGTGATGCTGGCCACCGAAAGCTGTTTGCGTGGATCAAAGAGACTCTTCTGTCTTCTGTGGCCTCTGCGTCTGAAAAGTCCTTGAGAAGGCCCTCCACGCGTCTTTTCAGCTGGTACTTCCATGTTTTATTTACAATGTTCAGAACTTTTTTGACT